GATCATTAGATTGGGCTATAGCCTGGGATAGGGAGGAGCATGAGAACGGGCTCTACCTGAGGTGGGAACCCCCATGGGTGCTGGTGATTGCAGCACCCTGCAGCAGCCAGAGCTCTGCCTGGGGGTGTTTCACCACCGCAGTGGAGCAGCGTGGGTTGCTGCTCTTTGGTCAGTCTCATGTTCTTCTGGAAGAGACCATCAAGAGATTCAGGAGCCCCAAAGCCACCCCCTGAACTGCATGGGATCTTTTAAAGGGCTCTGTGTCAGCTCCCAGCCCTGGGTGGTCACTGCTGGTGTTTCTGCAGGTGCTGTGGCCAGCACAGTGGTGAAGCAGAAGCTGGCCGAGGTCATCCTGAAGAAGCAGCAGGCAGCTTTGGAGAGGACCAGCAACCCCAACCCCTCAGCCCTGCCATACAGGTAAACCAGCTTCTTGCCTTTTGTCCCAGGACAAGACAAAACCAGCAGCTGGAGCCCTTCTATAGGTGCTCGTGGTAGTGGACAGGTCAAGCCTTTCTGGCCACTGGCACATGCCTGGGAGGAGCAGTGTCCCATGGGCCACCCTTGCATTAGGAAGGGTGCCACGTGGGAAGCATGTGGCTGCCCATTGGGAAAGGTCTCTAACAAGGTGGCTTCTCCCTGTAGGTCTCTGGAGCCTCTGGATCCTGAGGGCCCTTCTCCTCCTGTGCTCAGCACCTTCCTGCCCCCTGTCCCCAGCACTTCTCTTGACCCCCCAGAGCATTTTCCACTGCGGAAGACAGGTAAGACTTTGGGGTAACAGCATCTCCCTTGCAGGGGGTGGATGATGGAGGGGATGGGGTGTCCTGGCCCCTCAAAGCCAGCCCAGCTTTGTCCCCACCAGCAGTGGGGCTGGGACTAACCACCTTGTCTGCTCACAGCGTCTGAGCCCAACCTGAAGGTGCGTTGCAAGCCCAGGAAGTGCCTTGACCGGCGCAAGAACCCCCTGACGCGGAAGGAGAGTGCTCCCCCCTCGCTCAAGAGGCGGCCACCCGAGGCCATTGGTGAGGCCTTCACCTGGATGCTGATACCTCAGGGGCTTGGAGACACCTTGGGGCCAGGCTGGAGCAGCAATGGTGCCCCAGGATCCTGCGTCACATCTGCTCGGGGACCGTGTGTCCAGGGCTTGGTGTGTTACAGGTGCCGGGGCACAGACCAGGGAGGGAGCTCTCTGCTGTGATAAGGGATGCTCAGGGGGGATGAGCAGGGGCTGGAGCAGCTCCCGTATGGAGCCAGGCTGAGGGCACTGGGGCTGGAGAAGAGAAGCTGCTGGAGACC